TTGTAAAATTTGTATAATTTCTGGCAGCAATTTCCCAATGATATTGTGATAGTACTGGAGGAATTAATGACTTTAATGCTTTATTGATTTTTTCTATAACAGCGTCAAGCCTCTGATATTGATTATAAAGCCCAGAACGAGATACAACTGAGAAATTTTCAATAATTTCGCAAATATGAGGCTTCAAATATAATAAATTTTCTTCATATGATATTTCGAGCATTCTGTAAATTGGATGACATCTAGATGACCAAATTGGTACAAATTGACGTCTAGCTGTATTATGCAATAATAGTTGATTAGTTTGAACTCTAGTATGAAAATTAATAATAGCCTGAAGATAAGTAAAAGTCTATTATCACCATATTATTAATTATATTTTAGTATCTTTGTGTTTTTATATTACAATTAAAATTAAAATAATATTTAACCTGTTCAAATTTTAATTTATATGTTTCATCAGTTTGATTTTTGGCCCATTCCAAATATCTGTTAGGAGTTGGATTGTTATGGTTTAAAACATATAGCCAAATTAAATCTGATGCTATAGAATAGCGGTAGATATTACATATTGAGTCCCATGATTTATGGTGATCAGTACATTTACGAAAAAATTCTAACTGCTTATCTGTTTGATATCCTTGGCACTGAGCAAATGTTTTTATATCTATTTTCTTTAAAATTAAAAAGTTAAGCATAAGTAAAAAATAATAATATATATTTAAAAATTAGTCTTTATCAGTTTAGCTCAACAAATGCTTTAAGCATATTCATCTCTTCATATAGAGCACCCGGAAGTAAAATTAACCATGGAAAGTCTTTTCTTAACTTTAATGCTTGGTTATATAGTACACTATCACATACAACAGGTATCCATTTACGCTTTCCAGACTTAATTCCAGCAATTATTTCAATATGTTTTAAAACTTTTCGAATATTTGCCAAAGAATTAGGATTAACAGGAATTGGATCAGGAACGTATAATTCTGGAATCTTTATATTTTGATTTGCTATAGTTTTTTTGTATTATACTAATTCTAGGTTTTTGTACTTTAATACTAGATTCGCTTAGTTCTTTAAATTCGTAAAGTTTAAATATTATTGTTTTATTTGTATTTTCTGATACTAATGGTTGTTGAAAAGATGAAGCTTGATTAGACGAAGCTTGATTTATTAAAGTAAGTGTTGGTAATTTGGTGTTACAATTAGAGCAATTTCGCTTTTTGTTATCAATGTTTGATGTAAAACATTGTAAATATATTTTTAATTTATTAGTTATATTATTTTGCTTTTCAACAAGTTTGTCAATTTCATTTGTTTCTTGACATTTTTCTGCAAGTAAATTATTTATTATCTCATTAATGAAATATTGAAGTTCTTCTTCGAGCCTTTTTTTCATATTATTATTTAAATAAAATAATTGATTAATATTATTTTCACTAAGCAAATCATATTTTCATGGATTAATTTCTAATTAGTTATTATTATTTGAATCAAAATTAAGAACCACAAAACTAGTTACAGTATGATATATAACTGTATTGTAACCCCGATCTAAATAATTTTTTTGACCTTTTTGTTCATTATCAAAGGCCAACATTAAAAATCTATCAGGCAAAGGTTTAGGTTCAATTACTAAACTTTTAATCCAATTTATAAATTTGTATAGCCTTCTCTATTAGTAATATGGTTATCAATATCTATTATAAGCTTTGATCGAGTAATAGAATATTTAATAGCAGATGCAGCAAGATTTATTTCAGAAACATATCTGCTATGTCGTGATCTATAAATTGCGTCTATAGCAATTACACGCTTAAAACTTTTATTTTGATATAATCGTTCATTATCATTATCGGTAAGTGTTTCAATAAATTTTAATATTACAGGATTACAATATTTAAGCCAATTAGAAGGATTAAATGCTAATAAATTTTCTAAAAAAAAATCGACTTTGATCATTAATTAAATCAACAATATCATCGTATAAAAATTTCTATTCTAAAGAAGCAATTTTGGCAATTTCTATTATACGTTTTTGTTAAGTATTATATCGTTCATTTCATTGTTTATTTAAGTATATATTTTTATTTTCTAATTTATTTTTTTCGATTTTTAATATTTCAACTCGATTTTGATATAAATTTAAAACTTCTAACTTAGAACTAAGTTCTGCGATTTGTTTTTT